ATGAGTTTTAGAAGGTGGTTAGACTCAGTGGGCATTTAGGAATGGACTCCTTGCAATATTTCCATCAGTAAACAAGTGTGGGCCATGATTGGAAGAGCACTGGCTCCAGGGAGGACACCATTTCCATGCTCAGGATAATGTTTCTGCCCAATGTGACTGGCAGCACAGGTTGTATTACTGAGGATTGAATATTATGAAATAATGACAGAAGTGTAAAAATGTTACATATTATTATTTCATGTAGTTATGGACTACCAAGAGAGAGATGGAGTCTGTGCAATAAAAATTCTCTATTACCATCTGGATACAGCATGTCTAATGACAAAAGCAGACATTGGAAAATGACAAAAAATGCATATGTAGAAAAAGAGATAACAAACCAAAGGGGAGTGTTTTTGTGCACCCAGCCAACAAGCCACACACTCATGAGAGTCACCATTCAAGAAAGCCTGCGCATCAGATTTTGGGCCATGAGTTGACAGAAGAGGACCTGGATTCATTAAACAATTGGATCCAGATGTTTCACTCCCAGTAGGCATTAGGCCTACTTTAGTGGCCACTCTGATGGTTGTGCAGCTTGTAGGCCAGGTGCAGTGATTGCATGTTATCTCTCTACAAAGCCCATAATGGAATCCAGTAATAATGATAAGTAACATTTTGTTATTTATGTTAATAAAAAAAAAATATATATATATATATTAAATTTTCTGTAATACAACCTGTGCTACTGGTCACAGTGGCCAGGAATAGGATCCTGAGCATAGTGATAGCATCCTTCCAGGAGCCGGTGTTCTTCGAGTTCATGGCTCACAAATGGTAAATTTGACATTTTTTTATTAGTGGAGATGATGCAAAATCCCTTCCTAAACGCCACTGAGGTTTGTACACTCGTGCCAAGTCATTCCCATCACCCCAGCCTTCAGCCAAACTGCAATTTCACATCACCCCAGCCAGGAATAGGATCCTGAGCATGGAAATAGCATCCTTCTTGGAGCCAGTGCTCTTCCAGTCATGGTGCATGAATGGTACATTCCACGTTTTCCAGTGATCGTAATCACCCTCCAAGAGGCTTGTGCACTTGTAGCAAATCATTCCCATCACCTTGGAATTCTGCTGAAATACTCACTTTGAATTACCACCTCTTTACTCTGTTATGAGTTACCTATTTTTCTGCCTGAGTGTTTTTTTTTTCTTTCTTTCTTTTTTTTTTCTCACATTTCCCAAGGTCTATATTTGATCAACATGGTAATGGAATGTTTTCCTTTCGCAGATTGTGCAATAACATTTTGTCATTTATGTTAATTTTAAAAATATTTTTTATTAAGTTTTCTGTATCCACCGTGTGCCTCCAGTCACAGCGGGCAGAAACAGGATCCTGAAGCTGGAAATAGTTTTCTTCACTAGAGCTGGCACTCTTCCAGGCATGGCTTACATCTCACAATTGTTTACTGGTGGAAATAAAGCAAGAGCCCGAAATTTTTCATGTCTGTATATTCCTGTCACTCTAGTCTTTTGCCATTTTTTCCATGATAGCATATTTGTGTTTTTTTTCTTTTCTTTTCTTTTCTTTTATTGTTTTTGCTGTTTCTATTGCTGCTGTTGTTGTTATTGTTATTGTTGTCATTAATGTCGTCCTATGATGTAATGGTTATTTCACTGGATCCAGTGGATAGATATGATGTGTAGGAATTATAGTAACCAAAGCTTAGTGTTATGACCTGTACATGAGCAGTCAAATTCTTCAAGTTAGTTCATTCCTGTCCCCCAGCCCTCAGCCAAGTTCTTCCATGACAATATATTCTAATAATCGACCCCTGAGATAAATTTTTGCATGATGTGATGGTGATGTCTCCCTGATGGGTTTTACTGCAGATAGTATGTTATATCTTACCCTTGAAAGCATCTAATATGCATTTTCCTTTTTTTCAGACACATTCCAGAATACCTTGTTGCTGCATTTGTTAAACGCTTGGCCCGGTTGACTTTGGTAGCTCCAGCCCCATGTTTAGTTCTTGTTCTTAAGTTTATTGTGAACTTACTTCTGCGATTTCCAGGATTAAAGAAGCTGATTCATAATCCATTTGTAAAAGGTGATATATCGTTATCTGTTTTACAGAATATTGTAGACATAAACTAGATGTTGTTTCACTCCTCATCTATCAATATCACAGAGTATATGTACTTATAAATGTTATTTTCACATTTGTTTTCATTATTTTTTCTCTGTTATTCTTTTTATATCCTTTATTTTTTCAAAAGGTATGGAAGATGATCCCTTTGATGCTTGTGAACCAGACCCAGTAAAATCCAAAGCTTCAGAAAGCAGTTTGTGGGAGGTTGCTACTCTACAAAATCATGTACTTCCAGCTATATCTAAAGTTGCAGGATTCATAAACAAAAATCTCCCAGACATAGAATATGGTATTGGTAATCATGTAGAAACAACTTATGAAGAGGTAAATTTCTCTCTCTCTCTCTTTCTTTCTTTCTTTCTATCCCT